CAACTCAGACTCGCAAACTGTCAAGGTGTTCGGATGCACTGAAAAGGGTATGTGCACAATACCTTCACTTATACAAAATGACAAATAGACTGTGTCTCAAAAAAAGTATCTGGACAATTGTTTTTGGAGAATGTTTGAGGTAAATGTTTCGCTTGTCAAAGTCTGTCGAAAGAACTGAAAAGAGACGTTATACATCTGTCCCACTTTTCACCCATTTCTGTGAATACAGCGTGTCTTACGATTGACCTAATTCTGCTGCTGGAAGTTTTAATTCTATTATCAGGACTCGCCTGCGGCCCGGGTATTAGTCGCGTCCATTCTCCTGAGCCAGACTTTAAACCAATCAGAATCGACTAAATTGTCGCGTATCCAGGCACCAGTGCGGGATTTAAGCAGTGGACATAATCACTTCTCAGGGGGCAAATGTTAATACATGGTCAAGTTTCACGTTGTGGAATAGGGAAACTGGATGGTAAAGGGTATTTATGAACTAAGCTTTTATATTGACGTTATAATTTACCTGTATTCTTTGTTTCAGTTTCAACGACTGTTTCTACTGCAACAGTTCCAACAACAAGCCCTGAAATTACAACAGTGACGAGTGAGTAAATGCTTCAACGGCGGATCTGAACGATTACCAATCTTGTTCGTTCTGTAGGGTGGTGTGGCAAGAATAGAGTGATAAAACAGTTTTTGGATGAGCTGTCTCTAGGGTACTTCAGACATGTTGGGTATAAAACGATATACAAACTCTTCGACCTTTTCTTGCCAAGTAACATGAGAAAATTACTGTTTCATTACAGCTAGTTTGTGAAATAATTTCGAGGTCGGTTTTTGCACTTGAAATAATACACTCTGTTTTTCATGTTAAAAGATATGGGGTGCCACTGAAGTGTGCGGAACAGTGGGAAAAAAATTCCTTTCGTCACTTTTATTTTTTTCAGCGAATAATTTTGACGACTGTTTTTCTCCACAGGGCCTGTTTGTGGTCCGAAGTGTGAATGTGACGTGAATTGCTACAACGTCATCATAGATCCTAACTGCCCGCCAGATATTCCAGATAACTGTCAAGGTTGCTTCTGCCTCGAGGGTACGCATAGAGTAGGTGGCTATTGCGCCCGTCCCCCACCTCGAGGAACATGCATTTCAACACCAACAACAGAGACAACGCGTCCACCCAGCACGACTTCAGTGCCACCATCAACAACACAGCCACCAACTACCACTATTAGCAGCACTACACACGGTGAGTCCTAACCTATTATACGACCCAGCTGAAGCAAACTCACAGGCATCAAAGATTAGAATTTGGAGGGTGTGAGCTTTACTCATTCAGCGGGGCCAACAGCAGCAAAAAGTAACCTCAGAAATACAAGTCAACAGAGGGCGGTCTTGTAAAATTTGCTTGCACAAAATTGTGAAGCGTTGAGAAGGGAAGGGGTGCACCCTTACAAATAAATTCCCATACACAGCTGTGTTAAATCTCCATACTTCACAAATATTAAAAAAATACAACCGTCACAGGTGTTCCAGCTGCACAAAAAAATGATGTTCCGCATGTCCTCTTCGTTTTCCTTTGAACGCTTAGTGGGTCGACCAATGAATTTTTGAGAAATTCTCTCCCAAAGCAGACCACCCCTAAAATGAAAGAAATTTCACTGCCCGGGAAAGTAGCCGGTTTGAAAATGTATCTCTCTGCAAAATGGCACAAACAGTGCCACTTTCAGACCCGATTGCATCCAAATTGCTCAGAATTGGAAGCTATGAGTCCGGCCCAGAGGTTCAGTGTCATATTTCTTCAATTCCCCAGTTCCTTGGCTCTCAGGATCCTCTAATATAGAATGTTTTGAGCGTATAACTTTTATTAATGAGCTAGGCGTACATACTTCTTGTCTTAATACAAGGGTAAACCTGGAAGGTACACGTTACTTTTACTATTAGAAGTTGAGCGGACCGTCCCTGACGGGTTATCAATAATATCTGCCTATGTGTCACCGTTTCTCTGCTCAAACTTCACACGAATAGTACCCTTCAGAAGATACTCCACTGCACTCAGCTTTACCCAGTAATCTTAGGAAGCATTCTTTGTGACAGGTTCAATCTGCTTAGTGTAACTCACACGAACGGCACATTTGTTGCATCCGACAACATAGTAATTGTCCGATAATACCGATCTATAATGTACTAAAATCGACCAAGAAAAGTTCCAACCGACAATGTAGTAAAAATCGACGCCTAAAGTAATAAACCCAACGACCAATAATGTATTAAAAATGGTGGATGGTGTAATAACCAAAGGCTGACCGATATCACAAGAACAAAGAGGCCAGTAATGACAAAATCAAACTAGATTTGTCTTCTTAATGTTTTGGGAGGCTTCGGGTTTTTTTGGAGGGGGGTTCTTGCGAATTCTACGTAGTTGAATGCATATTTATTCAGTCTTGGCACAACTTTGTTTGTCTTCTTTAAAAAAGAAGAACACTTGGACTAAATACTTGGAGCCTTGATCGAAATGGACAAAAACAACCCGTGGCGTTATTGTGACAACGTCACTCATAATTAGTTGAGTACTGCAATACAGGTAGTAACACCACTCTGTTTACTACATTATGCTTTGCCATTGAAGTATTCATTTTACTGCAGTTTATTGACTCTGATTTATTTCTTCGTGTACAGTTAAATTACTGCAGGGAGAGTATTGCGAGACAAGTTTTAAAAGAATTATCCCTGAGATACACTAAACTATGGTAGACATGAAATAAGAAGTAAATACACGACATGAGATCAAAGCTACTTTCGGACCCGTTAAAAAAATATTAATCGACATTTGGATTTCAGAACTGTGTGGATCAGCTGCCTTGTTTTTCTTCTTATGAATGGATTATGACAAGATTTTTCTTCGTCAGGGACAACACGAGCACCTTCAACGACAAAAGTACCAAGCACGACTTTTGCATCACCGTCAACAACACGAGCACCAAGTACGACTTTTCCACCATTGTCAACAACACGAGCACCGTCAACGACTTTTCCACCATTGTCAACAACACGAGCACCAAGCACGACTCTCGCACCGTCAACAACAAGGGCACCAAGCACGACTATTCCACCACCTTCAACAACTCGAGCACGAAGCACGACTATTCCACCACCATCAACGACACTTGCACCTACTACCACTGTTGCAAGCACCACAGAAGGTGAAAAGAAATCTTTTGTTTGACCCAGTGCACTCAAATTCACAGGTATCAGAAATTAAAATTCGGAGGGTGTGACTGAGACATGACAAACTTTACTTAAGCAGCAGAGTCAACCGCAGCAAAAAATATCATCAGGAGTACATGTCAACAGGGGGCGCTTGTTTGAAATTCGATAGCACAGCATTTTAGATGTTTAGCGTATACCCAACATATCCGTGGCTATTTATTTTTTTTCTGTTGTTTTTACTTACTGAAAATATCACCAACATCGTTTGCACCTGTTGAATACATAGAGTAGATCTTCTTTTTATCTACTTGAAAACAAAATGGTTCAGCCTGTTCCTTCATAGAAACGTAAAACACCTCTCTGAACAAATTGTGCTCAAATCAACAGAGGTTTAAGAAAAATCTGCAAACTTNCCTACTCGGATAAACCAGCTGGAGTTTACAACCAGCTCGGGGAATCCCTTGGTAGTTAAAGTGGGAGTGACGTTTGGTTCGAACCCTGATGAGGTGGATTCGTATTTGTTTGCTGGACAGCCTATGTTGGTAAGCTCCGGTGGAAGACTTGATATACCAGTGGAGCCAGAGATAACCAATGTGCGTTCCATCAAGATAATATTCTACAACCAAGGCTCACAAACCGTCAAGGTATTCGGATGCGTTGAGAAAGGTATGTACACGTTACTTTTGGAATTAAAAAACTACACACAACGTCTGGAAATTTTAGAGATATATCTTGGAAAGCATGGTGATGGTGTTTGATGAATTGAGAAGGGTAGGTGAAAGAACAGATATTTATTGGATTCGGGAATATTTATTTCTCATTTATTGAGAATGGATTTTAAGGGATGTCTTCCCTGTGTTGATGTTAATTATCACGAAGAGCTAAAAAAGCTCATGAGGATAGTCATTGAAAGTTACGTAAACATAAACACTTAAACTTGTGCCTACTGAAGAGAAATAAAATCAAATCAGAAGTGCATTTAATCCACAGAACAAAGTCCAGAAAAGTAAAAACGAATAGCTACGTTGCCTTCCTCGCTTGAGAAAAAGTATTTGGCCGATGTCTACGCCAAGGAAACAAATATCCTCAACAAGTACAAAATGAAAAGCAAAAGATGAATTACCCCGTGAAGTATTGTAGAAACTGGGAAGTGGACGTGTTGGGTGAAGAAGGCGCAAAAAGAACTCCTGACACAATTGCTTTCAGCAAAACTGAAAGTACCGTTCAGATAGGTCATTTGTAGTATCTGAATTTAGTGGATGGCTTATGTACCTGTAAAGAGTGCACTTTCAGATTATTCACGTATCAAAAGAACACATCATTACATTGTCGCTCTTCGATTTGCCGATGCCACAGCCCTGGTTGTGAATGTACTTGCTTTGAGTGTGAAAGACCAATAAGGAAGTAAAATAACGAGATAATGTCATAACGTCATTGTGAAGTAATACGGACACCTTTAGATAAGTACTGAACAAAACAGTAGACGGGATTCACTGGACGTGGACTGGAAACGAACTGGAGTCTCTATTTTGTGACTCGTGACTTGACTTGCAACTGCCATTTGTTTACTTGTGAATTGACTTGGACTTGCAAAAATGCTTTGTGACTTGATTTGGACCCATACATTATAACGTGTTGCAACGGCAAGTCAGAGAACTATCACCTCCATGATCGAACCCATTAAAGTTTGAATTTTAAGCCTATCAAGTTATGTCTTGCGTCTTAAAATACTAAGCGTAAAGGCCGGTTCAAACCGAGGGTGAAAACAAAAACGAACGGAAATTTGTGACATCAGGGTACTTAGGCCTTTTAGGCTCGCTACTTCCACTTCGGTCTTGTCTGCCAAAGGCCACTTCTAAATCACTTGGCTGTGGCATGAAAACACACATCGCATAAATTGACTTGTACTTGGACAAAAAGCCTTGGGACTCGCTTGTGTTTTACAAAATTGACTTGGGACTGGACTTGACGTGACTTGACATTCTGATCACGTAATTTGTGACTTAATTAACTTGTGACTGGACCAAATGACATGTAATTTCGCTTAGACTTTCAACAATTGAATTCTGACGTGACTTGGACTTGCAAAAATTGACTTGCTACGACCTCTGGTACTGAAGTCTATGTCAAGATTAAAGTTGGCACGGTGTGTGTTCTTGAAGAAATCTTTAGGACGATTACAACACTAAACAGGTAGGGTCGGCTGTGAAAACTCAATTAAAAGCTAAGTGCCCCCAAAGATTTAAATAGTCATTCTTTTTCAGTTGATTTTTTATAACATTATCGATCATTATCACATTATTGGTAGAGTTTTATTAGATGATTGGTCGATATTACATTATTAGTTGAGTACTGCAATACAGGTAGTAACACCACTCTGTTTACTACATCATGCTTTGCCATTCAGGTATTTATTTTACTGCAGTTTACTGACTCTGATGTAATTCTTCGTGTACAGTTAAATTACTGTAGGGAGAGTATTGCGAGACAAGTTTTAAAAGAAACATCCCTGAGATACACCAAACTATGGTAGACATGAAATTAGAAGTAAATACACGACATGAGATCAAAGCTACTTTTGGACCCATTAAAAAAATATTATACGACATTTGGATTTCAGAACTGTGTGGATCAGCTGCAAAATGAAAAGAAACACCAAGTTCGTTGTTTTTTCTTTTTATGAATTGATTATGACAAGATTTTCCTTCTTCAGGGACAACACGAGCACCTTCAACGACAAAAGTACCAAGCACGACTTTTGCCCCACCGTCAACAACACGAGCACCAAGCACGACTGTTGCACCACCGTCAACAACACGAGCACCAAGCACAACTCTCGCACCGTCAACAACACGAGCACCAAGTACGACTGTTGCACCACCGTCAACAACACGAGCACCAAGCACGACTTTTCCACCATTGTCAACAACACGAGTACCAAGCACGACTTTTGCACCACTGTCAACAACACGAGCACCAAGCACGACTGTTACACCACCATCAACGACACTTGCCCCCACTACCTCTGTTGCCAGCACCACACAAGGTGAGTCCAAATCTTTTGTTTGATCCGGCACAGGCAAATTCACATGCATCAGACATTAGAATTTCGAGGATGTGGTTGAGACGTGACGAACTCTATTCAAGCAAGGGGTCAACAGCAGCAAAAAGCCGCATCTGGAGGACATATCAAACGATGGCTCTCGTATAAAATTCGCGTACACGGCAACAGAGATATCTTAAGAAGTGTAAAGCCTTTTTAAATTTCATTTGTGTCTGTGATTTACACATTTAGGAAAGGAAGCGTTTTACATGACCAAATTCTTTAGCTTAGACAACAGAAAATCTCGTTCTGAATTGATTTAGTAGGCTAATTTTTGGCTCAATTGTAATACGTTTTTGAATCGTAGGGTGTCATTATAAAGCTACACCTTTTCTTTCTCAGAGTACTGTGACCCCTTGTGTGTCTGTCAAGTCGACTGCAATGGTGTTCTCATTAGGCCAAACTGCCCTGGCAGTGTTCCCAGCTATTGTATTACTTGCAAGACCTGTCCCCCTGGGACCACTGAGAGCCCGACAGGAGTATACTGTGAAAGTCGTCCTGATCCAGAAGAATGCGTCACGACCACGTCTGAAACAACAACAGCAGGTATACAGGGCAAGCAAAAATTTGGCTAAGTGGCTGAACAAAATGGGCATTCATCGGAGACATTTTGCTGTTACATGCATTGCATTGTGGAGGCATGTTGTGTTATACCCTCAGCAGTGCAATTTAAATGATTTATAAATAACGTATACATAAGCTGTAACAGGAAGACCGTTCACTCTGAATGTAATTGTCCATTTTGTTTAAATTGTACCACAGGTTTCAAACATCGGCCTATATCCTGTTAGTACACAGAATATAATTGTAATCTATCGTTACTGAATTTCATACACGAGATGCAATGATTCATCCCTGCTTTAAAGAACCATATATATTAATAACATAGGATGGATGATCCATATCTAATGCCAATTTGTTCCACTAAGCATGCACAATGACGTATGGTGTACTTGGCGTGCGTATTACTGTATTGATAATAATTTACCCAAAATTTTCAACGAATCTCTTGTTGGACGAGAAAGGTCTGCATAAAGCTGAATATGCCCCCTCGGCTGTAAGAGGGCCCAGATAACTGACTTTTCCCGGTTTGCCCTTGTATGACTAGGCTTTAATGGCTATTCGCTTCTTCATTACACAATATTGGCATATCTGAATTCTTAATTTCCACTTGCTAAAGCTAAGCGATTGCTGTCTCATTGTTCCAGGCGAAATGCGATCGAAAAGAAAAACAATTTTTTGAAAGTTAGCAACCCTCCTTACCAAGATTGAGGTCCCGACCTATTTTTACACGCACACAAGTTTGCATTCATTTCCCCGAAGAACCACATGAGACTCGGAAACTCGAGCCAAATGAAAAGGTTTCTCTGGATCTACTCTAACGGAGCTTTTTTGTACCTTTTTTCGAACTAGGTTATTGCATAGACCCAATGAGTCCATTTGGTCTAGACTTAGAGAAGGACAATTCACGAGAGACTCGGCCACCGCGCGATCCTGATGTTTCTACCTACATTGGGCAAGACATTCCATGGCTGCCTGGCGTGCCAGATGCCAAAGTGACTGTGTTGTTCAAGCAGCAGGTCCATATCAGAGCTGTAAGGCTCCAAGGGGCTGAATACCAAGATGGCACATACAACCTTCAAACGATCTTCGTACACCACTTACCTTCGACTGGTGTCATTCAAGAAACAGTCCACGTAAGTTCTCTCTCCCTCAGGAATCGAAGGTTCAGTTTAAAGAAAATGCACTCCCGCTTTGACGCATTGTACAGATCATGGCCTCCTTTTAATATTGCTCAATATAATGCCTATAAAACAGACTGATCTCAGCAAAATAACCGCAGTCTTAATATCTTGGCTTGGTAATGAACATTTAATACAAAACACTCATCCAGCTTTGATTCAATGTGTTGTCTAGAATTGAAGAAAATGTAGATCAAACTGAGTAAATATCTGATGCACACTGAAGGAATGTCAGTTTTGAGCCACCTTGTTTCAAGTTCACTGAGACAAGTTTTGCCGGAGGCGATTTTATGTCATGTCTAAACCGAATGCATGAACTTCTTCAATTGCAGACCTTCACGATTACCCTGAATGGTGTTACCCCACGGGACTACTTCTTCCCACGTGAAATGAGTTATGTGGTGAATGTAACACTAATTGTTATGTCAACATCTAAGTTTAATTCAACGCTGAGGTTGGACTTCCTTGGTTGTACTGAGGGTATGTGTAGTGCTTTAAACAAAACAGATGAGTTTTGTATATTGTAAAAATCATTTTCATTGACACACGTATTTTTATCTTGTCCTCTTATTGGAACTGAAAACCTGACGGTTTATAGCTGTCTACATGAAAATGAAGAAATGGGGTCTCATAATTTCATCATTCCATTGCTGTTGCGCTATAAATTCTGTCAAAAATTGACATACTGCAAAAGGATGTGATCGTCTTTCCACTATATGTTTAGTTAATGAACAAAGCAGATCATAAACAGCTTCCTATTACTGCTCGAAAGAACCGCCAATGTGTCAACATTGAAGCTCAGAAACCAATTTTAAAATCCACTTAATCCTTTATCATGTCAGTTACATTTTGTAATTTGTTTAGTCGGAGAAAAGAACATAACCCTCGAAGACTGCATTAAAAAAATATGTTTTTCTGCATAGTGCTCCCAAGTACAACTCCAGTGGTAACCACACCTTCTCCCCCAACAACTGAAGCTCCAACAGCAGGTTTGCTTTATGTTGTTATTTAATGTCTAAAATGAAAGCATGCTGAATGTGTTTAATCTCTCCTGCTTGTTCACTGTGTTATTTAATAAATATGCATATGTTATAACCAACATTCTGCATCTAAAGCAACAATGTTGATTTTTTTTGTCCCGCGATTACGTGACAGCAACTACAACTCTTAAGCCATCAACAACAGAGGAAGTCACGACCACAGTTCGTACAACTACTCCAGAGGGAACTACCAAAGAGATAACAACAGTGGAAACAACGACTGGTATGCAAGTGACTTTCGTAAAACAGTCTGGTTGAATGTAATTATTATAATGGTATCACGCAGACAACTTGGACGGTTCTTGTTTATTTGTCCTGTAGAATGAAACCCATGCTTCCCTTGAATCAAGTCATTACATTGCAGAAAACTGCACGGTGCATTCTCGTTCAGGCTGCATCAAGGCAGGTCTCTTTCTGAGCAGCTTCAATCAATTAAGACCTGTTGCCAGAATCCAAGCCCATAAACCTATCTACAAAGAGTTGCCCCAATTTCTACCCATAGTTGTTTACTTCTTGTGGTACAGAGGAAGGTACTACAACAGTTGTTACAACAAAACAAACAACACCCAAGACTAGTACCACTGAAGCGTCAACAATTACCGCGGAGTCTACCACAGTGACAGTGAAAACAACCGCACCAGAGATTACAACCACTAAGATGACAACGACAGCAGTATCAACCACTGAGGCATCGACTACAGGTAAATATCTAGTGTCCAAGTGTTGCAATATGTACATAGTCTACTCAGTGTTCAATTCTTGTTAGAAAATCAATTTTGAGATATAAGTACGAGTAAATTGTGTTGAATCACCTTTGAATTGAAGCTGCTCCATCGACTACAGAAGCACTAACTACTCGTTTGATTACCACCGAGACACCAAGCACCACTGAGCAGCCCACGACTACAATTCGCGAAACGACCACTGTTGTGTCAACTACTCCTCAATTCACAACAAGAGAGCAAACAACAGGTAAACGTGCACACAATTCACCTTATTCCCAAGTCAGCAATCTTGGGAGTGCCGTGGCCTCGTGGTTAAGAAAATTCGATTTGTAAAGCCGTGGGTTCGAATCCAGTCTGGGGTCATGGGACCTGTGTCTCTGGGAAAGGTATTTTGTCACTTATTGTTTCCAGATCCAGGAGTAGGCCTAATTGCGTACTTGTGAGGGCAGAGCTTGGTTATTGTGGTTGATTTAGCTGCTTTGCGCCAAAACGACTGCATCGACCTGTATATTCCCATTGGAGCTGAGATGGTAATTGGAATGTTTCATGGCCCAGTGACCAGGGTTAATAATAATGGAAAGCGCTTGGATCTCAGTTAAAGGCGCTGTGGACAAACCTGTTGTTACTATTATTATTGAATTAAAATGATGTTTTCACTCTAAAAATGTTCTAAAAGTGTAATAAGGTAAGGGCAATGATGATGTTTATGATATTGAGGCAAATATAAATTACCATTCCATTAAAATTTGGGGATCAGAATTTGGAAAAGTTTGTGTCATATTCATTGCTTAAATGCAGATATTTTCTAAAGTTAGGCTTAGGGAGCAAAATAGTCAGTCTCATTCCCATTTTGTAAGGTTCAGTGAATAAAGTGCACTCCTGGAGAACAACTTAAAATGACAGTAGTATTATAAATGGGGTTACTAGACCAAATTTTTGCCTCTACCTACCCAGGGAAATAAGTGTCATTCTCAAAAATAAAAGTACCCTAACCCCCTGCTGTATACCTACCCAACCCATCCTAACACCCTCAAAACTACCCAAAACGCACGCACACCCCACAACTCACGGTGCCTTATGCCACAATTGGTGTCTTAGGTAAAAAAAACTTACCGTGTTTTTTACAACTTTATTGCACTTGGAGTTGGCGTATAATATTTAGGAGGTCATGCCTGTTGGCACACTTTATTTACTGTTTGTTCATATCCCATATCTCCCCCATTTTAATGTTTAACAATGTTTAAACTCCAGTTGGCTCGCTTGCTCGCTCAGCTTTGCGATTAATTTTTTTCTCCTTGTCAACCATTTCTTTCGCCAACGTTTTAGCACGTCCTTCAATTGTAAACTGAATTTCTGCATTATTTGTTTCACTCAGTTTGGTATCTGCTTTATTGCAATCTTTTCTTTCATCTCGTTAAATCACTCGTGATTAACACAAATTCTTCATGACTAATGTCACCGTCGTTGATTGCTTGCAATATATACTCACTGATCGTATTTAAATTTGTGTCGCAAAATATCCGAATCTGGTCATTATTTTTAGTTTTGTGGGCAAGTCTGAGGCTTGCATATTTCAACATTGCATAACATCAAACGCACCAATGGCGAGAACTTCTATCACTAGCCCAATATGGGCCGAGATAAGCCCCATTAAAGCAGGGATACCTATCGCAGCACTTGTAGCACCCAAAGCTTCGACTTCATATTCTAAGTAATTAAGCGCGGTGAGTATCCGTTTAATCTTTTCGTATGTAGGCGATCTCGAGTCACGTTCTTGCATTAGTTCTTTTTTGATGTCTTCAATCTTTTTTAGTGTGTAGATCTTTTGGCTCGTTTCACCCGGGTAGCTTGGTGTAAAGCCTTAATGTAGTTGCGTTACTGTGACCATTCATTGTTTCTTTTAATTATACGCTTCAAAATATTTCACAATTTCTAACTCTAAGTTTACTTTTTCTTCGTTGAGGTCATTTATTTTTAGGTCAAGTGAGGCACTGAATTCATTTAGATTTCCCACTTCATAAGCTCAAATACAATCGCTTATCACGTCATAAAATAAAACTGAACTGTCTGTCTCTAATTCTGATAATGGCACTGTAAGTTCAAGTGTTTCTATAATACTTATATCAACATTCCGACTGGAAAGTCTCGTCTTTGCTGCGCTCGGTGGCGGTCGATCGGGTATCTCACGTTCTTCACACCTTTATACCCAGCAAGAAATGAGACCAAAGGGTACCCCCCAACATGTCCAATCCCTATACACATTCCAGACTGTTGTTACTTAACACATCCCCCCCAAGATGTCTGAAAGGAATTCCCCAGATTCCTGCGAGACAATGACCAACACAAAGTAGGGGGGGGGTTCTCTCCGTTTCATACCTTGCTGCATATGTACACCTTGGTTCACAGTTTACAATGAATATGGACTCGAGGGTACCACAATGCGCTTTGGTTGGCAACCCGTAGGGTTGGGTCTCACGTTAAAGTATGATTGGTTAGATAGAACAAAACGAAAACGTAAAAAAACGCGTGGCAAGACTTTATTCCACACAAAAGGACAAGCATCACAGATGTAGAACTCATGCACGTAAACGATTCAATTAGAACATATGTTTAATCTTTGCTGGGAGCTCAAGCAGAAACCAAAACCAGCGTGTTAACTAAAGGAACTGGATTAGATGCCCAACACCAGTTTATCGCAAACGTGGAATCAAAAATCAATTTGGAAAACCTCTCAGGATCGATCGATGACTATCAAAGGTCGTTGCAGTATGCCGGGTCCCCTTTGAATTATGTCGTAAGACCATGTTTGTATCTAACTCCATCGGATATGAATGTACGCATTGGATCGTATGAAGTATATAACAACAACCTTCAGATCGCAACACCTGACATGCAATCTGGGTATCAGCCTGATGTAAATGAAAGTGACATTGATGAAGATTTTGAAGAGGAAGGTTGAGTAGATATCTAGGATAAAGTAAGGAGTATGAAAGCACCAACTAATGTTGAGGTATTACCCACAAAAACCAACCAAGAAAACGAAATAATGGCACTAACACTAGGTGTGGCTTGAATTTCACTGGCTTTTGGTTTATCAGATAAAAGCTTTAGCTTAAAACTAATACCCCGCTCAATGTGAGCGAGGTGTTAAAAGAAACTAGTGTTTTACTTAAGCCTGGGTTCATCTGGTTTTGGTTCTGGTGTTGGTTCAGGTGCCCGGGTTGGGGTGGGGGTACCTAAACCCCTTACGGCAGCTATAAAAGAACTAATAATAGTGCTGATAGCTAAACTATAAGCCGTTAAAATGCTCACGATCGTGACCCCTTGTTCTCTAAAAATGGTTCGGATTTTTTTCATGCAACGACACGTCACCATATAACACGTGATGAACCAAACTTTCAATTTGTTCCATTTGACCCATGAGATTACCCTTGAGATCGTTTCTGTTACTGATCAAAGTTTCTAAGCGTTCACTCAATTTGTGTGTATGAGCTTTAGTACGTTTTGATTCTTCAGATTCGGGTTGATTTAACAATTGGTCTTGTAGTTCAAGATTAGTTAAACGGTCATTTTCTTCATTGAGTTTTGATCCATTTTCTAAATTATTTTCAGCGTTTTGTCTTAGACGCCCTCGAATCCTTTGCATCTCTTGGTCAAAACCGCGAATTTCTCTCAAAGAGTATTCTTCAATTGTGCTCGGGCCACGAGTGAGCGTTTGTCTTTAGTGGGTGATTGAGGTAGTTCTACCGATTCTAAATCTTTGCTCAATCGTTCAAGTGATAATCTATAGTTTTAAAACCCAATTCGTTTCTAATAAATTCCGGTCCATTTGTATAACCCGCTATATTAGCATTGCTTTAGATAGTATTAAGACTTACAAATTTACCGCGAGCCTTTTTACTAGTTAGCATTACTTCATCGTAATCGTCAAAACCTTTGTAATATAGGTCTTTACCCCTTCATTCAAAATTTTCATACGCGGGTAACTCAGGTACGTCAGTTCTACCATAATGTTTATAAAATTATAAAAATTATCTACGTTTGGATTATCTACAAATGTCCTTCTTCCCCGTTCTATTGCTGTCTGTGTTTCCTTCTGTAAACGTGTTTTTTTTTGGTTGTAGGGTGTCATATTTATCCCATGATAGGCGTTGTTCTTCTTGATCGGCTTGTTGATTAGCTTGTTCAGTTTGTTGATCTTGCTCAGGTGTAAAATCGTCCAATTTAATGTCAATTCTTCCTTCTGCCATGTTTTTAAATTAAGGTAAAAAACTTGAACTTCTTGGTGCAATGCTGTCTGGGATAATGCCCTTGGTAGCCAACCAGTCATGGGTAGCCGTAGAACCTGCAATTAATGCAGAAAGTTATCTTCACCCCTCAATCTGTCTGAATTGGGTGACTTCCATTTCAAGGTCTTTCGGCTTCCATTGCGCAGCCCATTGCGATCAAACTAACGATTGCACCGTTGTAAAGCCCGTTAACGATATCGTTTGTGTTTGGTTTTGTTGCCATTTCTTTTATTTTATATTAACGTCAAGAAAAAAAATATTTCATTTCTGAAATTTCTACATTTGGTGTTTTTGGTTATTATCGCTTTGTTTTGGTTATGTTTTTTGCGTTTGATATGTTTTCTTTTTTGAAAACAAATTTACCACAAAAAGCCCCATCCCGACCCCCACTAAAATCAACCAAGGATAAAATTGCGGATCGAAAACGTTTGCTTGAGTTTTGGTACGTTTCGTTTAGCTCACTCAGCTCGCTTTGTTTCGTTAAAGCAAGTTGCTCTTTCATTTTAACTTTATGTTCTGCGAGTTTTTTACCTTCTGCAATTCATTTGGGGTTTTTAAGTTAATTATCAGAGGCTGTGACTTGGGTCACGGTCTTCACGCTCGTCGTTTTGTGTACCTCGATTTGTTCGCTTTGCTTCGCTTCACTCGTCGTTGTTGCTATTTGCTACAAAGCAAGAAAGTTTTTGTTCTGATTTTTTGTTGAAACAAAGATGTCTAGTTGTAATTAACGTGCCAACTAGTGGACTAAGGCAACTTCCGTACTTGTAACAAACCTCAGTGAGAAATTGCCCGGTGCTCAAACTAATGATGGGGTCACGTTCTAGATCTTGGGTTAACGCTTCTTATTAATCCAACGTGACATCATGGCCCACAAATTCTATCGGAAGTGTAATCCCTAACAGCCTAGCGTACAGCGACAACAAACTTGCACCCACTGTAGAAACCACTTCCTTGCCAA